TATATATATATATATATATATATATATATATATATATATATATATATATATATATATATATATATATATATATATAATAGAAAAAATGCTGATTACTTTGGAAAACAGAAGGCTTGAAATATATAGGAAAAAGTAGAAAAGTTATTTAAAAAAATATTTCGAACACAAAAACGGTCGAAATAGATTGAAAATTTGCAATCGAAATGTCGTTTTTTTTTTGTTCAGCGATTGGTTTTCTACGAGAGAACAATAGATTCCCTCCGTCTCACCTCCTGCATGCCCACCCCGCCATAAATACACGGAGAGAAATATTCAGTAAAAATTACGGAACAATTCACGTAATCCGCAATGGGGAATCTGTTTCCGGCAATTTTTATACATCTGAAACGTTCCGTGAATTCTCAGGTTCATCACCGAACAAAGCACGAAATTGTCACGTAATTTTTCCCGAAGAAGTTAAATCATACAGAACTTCCCGACTTATTAGCCCTCCAAAATGAAAAATTCTTGAACATTCAAAAATTTTTATGAAGCTGGTGAGTTATTTCTACGTTCCGTTCCATAAAGTTTCTCAATCGTTGGGGGAAAATTACAGAACGACTTGTTGTCCCCACAGCGATGAGTCAGACGGGTGATTAATTTTTACAGAACAAATCGTAGAATTTACATGGCGATTCGTACAATTTCAGTTCCGACTCACACTTTTTATTGAATTTTACTTCGCTCGCGGATTATGTTTGGAAACGTATTTTTTTCGTTTTTTTTCCGGTAATTTTTATTGAATTTTGCTCTCCGTGTAGCTTAACTGAATATCATTTAACTAAGTGTCCAATCTTCACCGTTATCTCCTTTGTTTTCAGATTCCACCTGAGAAATCAACACCTGCACAATCTCAAAATGGTACGAGCGCTAAGCGTCGTACTGTAGTTTCCCAAAAGCCAAAATCTGCAGCTAACACTGAGGCAAATCGAAAAGCTCGTGAAGCACGTGAACTCGCTCGTCGCCAGATGATGGAGGAACGCAGAAAAGCCATGAAATCCCAGATACAACAGTCTGTAGAGATTTTTGCGCCAAAGACATAACAGAGGGCCGTTATGGAGATTGTTTCAAGTAATGAAGACACCACAGTTTTCTGTCTCAGATCTGTAAAACGCTCATAGATACCCAAACTGAATGAAAAAACGGGAAGAGGAAACAATAATGAATGATTTTAATCGATGATGAAGTTTCATAATTAATTAAGTTAATGAACGAAAGTCATAAAATAGTTATTTGCAGTGTTGAATCATGGATTCTCGCGTGATAGAATTTGCTAGATTTTTCATTTTTATTAATTTTCGGTGATTGTTTTCGATTTTATATCACTCCGATCATTTTAGAAATTTAAAAATGTTAAAAACAGAAAAATCTTTGAAAAATCAACTGAAGAATTGTCTATGTACCGCTTGATTTTCGTAATTGAAATAATTACCGAAAATTATTGAAAATATTTGCCTACCAGGAATATTGACAACCCATAAAAATTGAATAAAAGAATCCATTACAATGTGTTAAAAAAGTGCGACTGAATAAGTTTCATATTCCTCCGGTTTTTATCGTGATATCTGTGTATGTAAATAGTTTAATAATTTTTCATGATTGACGTTGCAAGAGAAATGTCTATTCCTTTTTTAAATGAGCTTCTTGTCCATGACTGCGCCCAACCAGGGGCATTTTCTTTCTCTTCTAACTATTAATAAGAAGCATTTGAGAGTTTAAGTATTAAATACCAGTCATGAGGAATAACAACTGATGTTTCAAAATGTGACAGGAGAAGGAGCGCAAAAAAAATTTAATTAAAAATTGAAATTCACATTGAGTCGTTGATGACGTTGAATCGATGGCTTTCAAAGCTTATCTACCAAATAACACATACCTAACTAATACTCATAAGCCCGCGACGTTTTTTTTACTGTAAAAATATAAAGATGAAATTCACAGAAATCTGAAAAATCATTGAATTACGTTAAAATAGGTTTAAAATACAATAGGAACGATATAATGAATATGAATGAATTCGCATTCTTCAGTGAATCGCCGTTAGAAAATTTTTTCGCTCAAAATTGTTACTCGAATGGTTATGAATGTTCTGAAATAAAAATGAAAAATAATTCTAATACGTGTCTTTCTATTAGGACATATGTTCAGAGAGTTTTGTCCTATAATATTCGTGCTTGAGCACTATATCCAATGAAATTTGTATATAAGAGACTCATTTGTAGAAGAAAAAAAATTGACTGCATGAATTTGTGAACGAAAAATCATCAAAAGGAGGAATGAGAGAATTTGTGAATTAATCACTATTATTGTAACATTAAATCTCTTTCTGTTCTCGATCGACTTGCTTAGTAATTTATATTCACACGGAAAATAAATATTACTTCTTATAAAAAATAAAAATTACGTCTTTTAAATTGGTGTAATTGGTGTAATGGGAAAAGGAAATGATGTTTTTGCAAGGAAAATTATTGGCACAAGAGAAAATTGTTATGTCTATATTCGTACGTGTAAAATCGGAGTAAAGAATGACTGCAGTACAATAGAATATTTCAAGTAACGTTATAAAGCTTCCGCAAGAGCCTTTGGAGGTCAGAATCGATTCATGAATACAATAGTCTACAGGGAAGGTGCAGTGACTCCTTCGGGCCGATGAAAAATGGCTCAACTTGTATTCTACTTTCTCTCGATCTTCTTTAAAGGTTTCTTCCGTTACTTGTGCACCGGAACGGTGTCATCAGGGTTTCTTCTCACATTGAGTTTTTTCATGATGCCAGGCATATCAATGTTTTTCCCTCGTTCATTTTGTCCTGAACTTTATCGCTTGCTGTGGATTTTTCAGCCTGGGCGCTTAGCATTGCACAGACGAACGTCAGGGCTACGCCTATTGCTGCACTGTAAAATGCCCAACCTGTTGACAAATAATAAAAACAAGTTGATATCTCCATTTGCCCGGGTGTGCATACAAGGATTTTAAACGTAGATTGGTCACCCGATGAGAGAAACCCCGCGGCGCGTTTTTTTTTTAACGAGATCGAAGGCGCGGTTCGCGCGCCTATCAATATGATCGATTTTATGTGATTCATCACGTTATTATTCTAGGCGGACTTGAATCAATATGTTATTTCACGTACACAAATTTCTATAGTATAGTATTAAGGAGAAATTTGTCGGAAATGATAAAAACTTCTTTTGAAAATCCATGAATTTTTTTATATTGAAAAGAGATGGAAATCTCTATCGAGAATCAGTCGGAGATATGTCGAAATCCACGAAAACTTCATTTGAGAATCAACACATGTTCTGTAGAGAATGATGTTGGTACCGAAGGTCAGAAGATAATTCTCAATGTTCATTTATACGGGCGTTATCGATGGAAAACCATCAATATGTCGGATACTGAATACGATTACGTCGGTTCCTTTTATACAGACGTATAAATATACATACAATTTACTTAAACATATAACTCTTTGTAGACATAATTTTTGATTTTGGCGTTTTTTCGTTGTTGCCTTGTGAAGACTTACAATGGATCTCATGATCGAACTCTCGAAAAAGCTAAATATAATGCAGTAGCGAAGCGGTAAACCGGGTTAAGTCGATTTTGATTTTGGTCAGTTTTTTATGAATATCTCGGAATCTGAGAGATAGTAAAATTTTTGTTCTGAGTTTTTTTGTAGTCCTCAATTAGCTCTACAAAAAGGTCATAACAAAAATTTTGCTATCTCTTTTAGATTCCAAGATATTCGTCAAAAACTGGCCAATAGTCAAAATCGACTTAACCCGGTTTTCCGCTTCGCTACTGAATTGTCCGTGATTGAAAATATCTCTCCATAGATCTATACCAACATTACCAACATCATCAACATCGCCAACATCACCAGTATCATCATTATCATCAACATCATCAAGCAAATCAGTATCATCATCAGACAATCAGGAATAACTGTGTGACAACTCGTTTTTATATGAGATTACAATTGACTGGCTAAACGGAAAAATTCAAAAACATTTGACTTCGTCAATTGAAGTGGTTAAAAAATTATGGTAGTTTTTAGAACAACGTGTTTTCCAAAATTCCTAAAGAAAACAAATTACTTCGAACAGATGAATTATTTTTTGCCATGTTAGATGAAATTGCCCATGACGCGACGTTGCCGGAAACTCGCTAAACGCACTTGGGCAGTGTAGAGTGAATTCGGCAACGTGAAAGCCTAAAAACACGGCGGGGAATCCCCGCGGAGGTGACCAAGTCGCCGAAATAATTTGTTTTTCTCAGGAATTTTGGGAAATATGTTATTCTAAAAATTACTATAATTTTTTAGACACACCAATTGACAAAGTCAATTTTTTTTTCCGGTTGGCTAGTCTAAAATTGTAATTTTTAAAAACGACGCGCGGCGGGGTTTCCCTGATAGGGTGGCCAATCTAGGGTTAATTACTCGATTTTCTAAAAATCAACCACCGGGAAGGTAACGGTAGACGGGTTCACATACAGACATCGTCACCAAACTTTGTATGTTTCAATTTCAGACATTATACATAATTTCCAATCAAAATTAGAAAATGTGAAAAAAAAGAAAAAAAAATGAAATCAAATGAAAATGAAATGTGAAAATGTGTAAATCGCGAGTGGTGGAGTCTTTATGCAAATTTACACAATGTGAAAATCGGACGATTACAACGCTTCCATTCGGAAGCAGCAAAATGATGAATGAAGTTTTTAGACTCTCCGCAAGCAGAATTTTCGGAGTTTGAAGAAAAGTGGGTACTCTTTGGGTTCATCGATCGTTTGTAATAACCATTATTTCCAACTTGTCGATTCATAAGTTAGTCATTATCCATAAAGTTAGAATGGAAATTTCTGCCCATTGCTAAACGTAAATTGGCGTTCACGGAGAAAAAACTTTCAGAAACTCATGTGCTGGCGCCGTAAACGAGGCGCAATTTACATTATTGTGAGAATTATTGTGCAGCACCAGACGAAATACTGCGCGTTCAAGGAAATTGCATGGAAATAGTAGAATGATTATGGGGCTGCCCAGCAATTTTTTTGGTGCTAGGAAGCGAAATTTTGGATGCTGCATAATAATTTCTTCTGAAGTTGTAAATAGCCCCGCGGTTATGGTGTAAACACACGAATTTTTCGGAAATTCTACTGGGGCTCGATAATTTTGAAGTCATGTTGGTGGAGGGGGGAGGGGGGGTACTCGAATTACAAATTTCACTGAGAATTCTTCCCATCCAAGTTTCAGCCAATAGAATTCCACTATTCGACTGTGATTTTATGTAGTTAACACAGCATTTAACTGACAATTTTTGATAATTCAACTGGTAAGATTTCATGTTGAGATATGAAAAATAAAAGATTTCCTGGTCGAGTGAGCTCTTCATTGGAAATGACAGATGGATTGTCTCATAGTGCAATTTTCTCGGCCGAAATTTGGATGGAAAAATGCTCTTCCGAATATCACTCGAGCTTCAAAATTAATCAGGTATTTCCCTCAAGGTTTCCTTCATACAAACGAACCTATCGGGAAATGCCTGATAATTTTGAAGCTCTTGTGGTGTTACATACGAGAATTCAATGTAATTTGGCACTGAATATTCATATTAGATTGGAAATTCAAATAAATTGAGGAATTCTCGTATGTAACACCACATGTTTCATGATAGTGCAATCATTTTCCTACATTTTTTCTAGTTTTGTGAATTTCCGAAAAGTTTTAGAAAAAAACGCAGGAAAATGATTGCACGATCATGAAATTTCATGAGTTATTAAGTAATGACAACACGTAAAAACGGTATATTTTTTCACGTCAATCCGATGAATTTACCAGAAAATTTTTAACAAAGTCAATATTGGCAAAAAGTGTGTAATAGTACATTCTTAAACCGATTGACCACTTCACTACTGATTTTTCATCACAATGTGTGGAAAAGGGACGTTTTAGACACGCTTTGCGTGCCTGAAAAATTACTTTTTCGCACAGCGTGATGAAAATAGCATATTCAAACTCCTGAGGCCAAAATTAGTTATCCTGGCACAAAAAATTGGAAGTTTCGGATTTGACGAATACAATGCTTCCATTGGTAAGAAAAAACACAATATCATTCATATTCGTCATTACCAAGATTGCAGTCTCCAAGTAAAAATGGTCCAGCTTCTGGGCCGCATATTCTCACAACTCTTTCAGCTCCCCACCCAGCTGGATAGAGTATCATTCCGAATAAGTAAACAATCCCAGCGACAGCCTGTGCTACTCCGGCAAGATTGAAGATACTTTTGCGTCCAATGCTCTGGACGCAGCATCCAAGCAGTGCTGCGAAGACTGTTAGTGCCATCACGGACAATCCAAGTGAGAGAAAAAAGAGTGACGCCTTCCAGCAACTAGGAAACACCGAGGGGTCCGTGGCGAAGCCATCAGAATTGAAATTTGCACAGTTCATTTTGCCAAATAGGCGAGTGCATCTGTTGAAGATTCCAGCTGTTGGGTAGTAGAGTTCCGTGCCATTTTCTGGGGATAAAAAAATTGTTATATTTTCTTGCTATCCTGTTCATTCTGCTGACTCGATCATAAAATTATTTCGCTATACGTACGACAAAATTCATAGAAAAAGTTAGCGCATCCGTCAAAAAATTCTATTGAATGTTGATCAAATGTCTATTACAAATTCTATCAGTTTTTCTCCGATTTTCTTCGAAAATATTGTATAGAAAAAAATCAAGAGAATTTTATTTTTCTATACAATTCATTTCGTTTAACGAGTTATTGATATTCAACAACTAATTGTTGAATTAAAATAACAAGTTGTTGAAATTCACCAAACAATTTTCTCCGCGTACACGTGCGTGCGGAAAAATGGATCTTTACGCACTAGTAACACAATATACTATTATATTACTCTATCATAATTTGCGGAAAGTGGGATTTTGTGCACGCGAAGCGGACGGACACCTATCGAAATCAGTATTTTTCGACCCAGTAACGAAGCATATTTTTTATTACGATGTTTGTTAGCGGCGATGTTTTTAGAACGCGCAGCGTGCGGGAAGCGAGGCTTCACAAACTGCGTGACAAAATAGTATATTTCATTACGAGTGCGGAAAAGAGTTTTTTGGCTCGTGGGAGGTTTATAGCACGAGCCGAAGGCGAGTGATACAATCCCACGAGCCAAAAAACACTTTTCCCACGAGTATCGAACGATATTTTTCATCATAATGTGTGGAAAAGGGACGTTTTAGGCACGCGAAGCGTGCCTAAAAAGTTACTTTTTCGCACAGCGTGATGAAAATACTATTTCACATGCATGACGAATGAAAAAGGAAAATCTTGTGAAATTTCTCTAGTAAATCGCGAATTTCTGATTAAATTCTATCATTAATCAAGTTGCCACATTTAATATTTTGTTCACGTTTTCAATCCAAAAGTTTTTTACCAGTGTTTTTGGTTTTGGGTGGTCCCACGATCCACTTTGGAGTGATGAGTGCGGAAAGTACAGCCATCATAGCAACCAGAGACAGCAGGGACCACAAGAGGCTGCGCCCGGTGACTATCACGTAGCACATCCTTACGACGTGTCGTCAAACCTGGTTTATGTCATCGTCAGTACGTTCATCTGCATAACATAAAAGAGAGGGGGATAAGGCGCCTGTGATTGGAGTTTGTTGTCATCTGTCATTCAAAGGGCCCGTGATGAGTGGCAGTTGCCCTCAGAATATTTCGGTTCTTCATCGCTTTCTTTCGAGCGCATTTTTTTCATTTTTAGGAAAATTGAAATTCTTATTGCGTTGAATGTCTTTGTTTTTGCTCTCCGGAAGAGAAATTCTTTAGGAATGAACGACACGGAGAGAAATATTCAGTAAAAATTAAGGAACAATTCTCGTAATCCGCAATGGGGAATCGTTCTCCGGCAATTTTTATAGGAATGGAAGAGAAGAAATGGAACTTTCAGTGAATTCTCAGGTCCATCACCGAACACATTACGAAATTGTCACGTAATTTCTCCCGAAGAAGTCAAATCTTACAGAAACTTCCCGACTTATTATGCCTTCCAAATAAAAAATTCTTGAAAGTTCAACAATTTTTATGAAGCTGGTGAGTTATTTCTACGTTCCGTTCCGGAAAATTTCTCAATCGTTGGGGAAAAATTACAGAACTTGTTGTCCCCACAGCGGCGATGCATTAGACGGGTGGTTAATTTTTACGGAACAAATCGTAGAATTTTTGGTGGCGATTCTAACAATTTCAGTTTCGACTCACATTTTTTTTGAATGTTACTTCACTCGCGGATTACGTTTCAAAACTTAATTTTTACGTTTTTTACGTTTTTTCTGGTGATTTTTATTGAATTTTTCTCTCCGTGGAAGCAAATTCTATAGGATTAAAATCGAATGTCTATTCATCAAAAATGAATATTAAATTGAAATTTTCACAGTAAAGATTACCGCAATGCCTCAATTTAATACTGAGAACATGGGCATTTGCAAACCCCATAATTACCAAAAAATGCTCATTCAACGGATGGGGAAGCGAGCGAAACAATCCTGGTTTCAACTGCTAATAATTTGAGATGATTCCAGGAAGTTTCGAACAGACCGTGTCCTACTTTATGGCACATGGCCGCCGCTCGAGTCCCTTTTAGCAATCCCACTATAATCACCCTTGTCGACCCCTTCCCCCTCATCGTCAAACTTATCGACCAAAAGGGAGAGCAGAAACGTCCCTTTGATGTTGCGGTAAATGTAACGAATCCAATGTGAAATGAAAGGGGATTTGGTTTTATTATTATTTTTTTAATCTTTCCCTCTTAATCCGCGGTGAAATAATCTTGAACGTAGAGAAAAAAAACTGGAAAGTGGTAGGACGAGTCACGGTAAATATAAAATGTTTAATCGTCTGGTTATTATCTGGGGAAGCATCAATTTTAAGGAAATGTATCGAGGACAGTTTTTTACAGCTCAGAAAATCTTCTACACTGATAGAAAAGGTGGAACGATCTAGTCGCTGGTAATGCGGCTTTTTAATTATTAGGGGAGCTGGTGCACTGGACACAGAAAATTTAAGAGACCGTATCGTAATTTTTCACAGGAGATTCAGATAAAAATTACGGAACGCTCCGGATCATTGTATCATTCCCGTGACAATTCTGTAAAATTTCCAGCAACCACAATTCGCTCCGGAATTACGGAAAAGATACGGAATTTTTATTGAATATTTTTCTCCGTGTGCATGTACCGCCCACCTGAGGGAAATGAGTCGTTTTTTCCAGCCCCGCTCTCAACAAGCAGTCGTCAACGGTTAGAATGGGTTCTTCGAGGTGTTTACTCGAAGATGTGAAGAGAACAGATTTTTTATTAACATTAAACATATTTAATTATGTAATTCAATTGCCATCCGCCAGTGAGCGATGGAATCGAACGTTGAGGGTAATACCGCCCGGCATGCGTCGAATACCGCCCGCTTTGTTTTGATAAATTTTTTGAGCAATGTAGACCAACAGTTATAATTTTTCTTATTTTCATCCTTCGTTTCCATTCTTTGGCTCCATCTTGAGAAAGATTTCACGTGAATAATAATAAATTATCCTGAAATTACCTGATGCTTCAGTGGCTACCGACCACCCCAAACAATCGAGCTGTCACTCGACCGCCCTCTAGCTGCTGAGTCTAGCAGCTCTATAGAAACCCTGGGCGGCATTACCCCCAAACTCCGGGCGGAATTACCCACAAACGCGGAGGCTGATAAAATAGCCAATAATAACTGATGAAGATATTTTTCTGCTATCGAAAAGGTCGCAATGGATGTGGAAATGTATAACGAACACATATTTCACACTCCATTCAATTATGGGCCAACTGAAAATTTGAAAAATCTCAAATTCTGGGCTCGAAATATTTTAAGAATTCGGTAGAAAATGATTTGGATTTTTTCAAACAATGTTTCCACGGGAGAAAATTGAGCATGTCTATTGAAATTACTTGTTGATATTACATATTTGCATTATAAAAAAATAAATAATTTTTTTTTTAGCCAATTCTGAGAAATAGAGGTGGGCGGTATCACCAGTTGAGTGGTACAGGCATCAGCTTTCCTTATGCCCTTCGTTAATTATAAACGATCGTGTTAATAGTTGAGAAGCATCGTTAACAGCAACTAAATTCTTTCCATAGTGTAAATAGGCGATTGCTCTTTTTGCTTCCGAACAAAAGCATTGCAATCGTTCGATTTTTACATTTTATAATTTTGCTTGGCAATGATGATTGCGGTCTACGACGTAAAAATATGATGCTTGGGCACCATGTCTGTGTGTGCCAGTCCCCATAGTCTGCGAAACACGATTTGTAAATATCAATGTGTTGCTAAACGCCTCGCATTCCCTACAGAATTTGTATCTTGGTGGTATGAAACTATGTGCGGGGGAGGGAGGGGGGGGGGGTAATGTTCCCAAANGTTAATGTTCCCAAAGTTTGTGTGGGGGTGGAAAAAAAACCTACCCTTGAAAACCGTTTTTCCGAAATAACTCGTAAACTACCCGAATTACGGATAAAAATATGGTACCCAATGTTATAGAGCTTCAAATTCTCTACGAAAAAATGTAGGGGACTTTACCCAGATTCCCGATTGTTCATTCCCCACAACCATTTGAATATTTGATGGATTTTTTTTTTTGTTTTTTGTCCCGGTGGCTTGGCGCAGTAAGTTCGTTGCCTCACATGCGAAAGGTTCCGAGTTCAAATCCCGGCCCAGTAGAATGGTGCGATCTAACCATTTTAAAGTCTTGATCATCATCGCAGTATACCCTAACCGGGTCGAAGCGATATAAATTAACGATAAAAAAAAAAATTTTATTGAAAAATTGAAATCAATATTTTTTTTCTTATTTTTCACAATTTGAAATATTAGTACTCTTTTCCCTAGTTTTTTTTTCATGTAGAGTGAATTTACTGCATATCACTACCAGTAACTTGGAATCCAATCGATGAATTTCTTTTTTTTTCATACTTGTCATAATAACATTTCCTACAAATTCTACACACAAAAGTCTGCCCACAATCCTACCAGCTGATGGTCACTTTATTGTAAATTTAACAATTAAATGAGAAAAATCATCCGGAAAAATTTGAAATCAGTAGTGAAAAGGTAAAACGGTTTCATTCGATTTTGACTATTGGTGAGTTTTCAATAAATATCTAAGGCGGATAGCAAAATTTTTGTTATAACCTTTTGTGTAGAACTCATTAAGAGCTCCAAAAATGTGATTACGAAAATTTCGCTATCTCCCTTAGATGCGGAGATATTCCTCGAAAACTCAGCTAGCAGGAGCTAAGTCGACGTAAACGGTTTTACAGCTTCACTACTGAAATTTTATCAGTTAATTGGAATAACTTGGATTTAACTCCATGCCAAAGCTTAGCTTGATCCGTTCATTGATTTTTGAGAACTAGCCATTCGTTTTTTAACCTGTTTTTGCAAATACTTCTAAAAATATTCAACCGATGTCAATATTTTCTTTCGCAATATCCGTCTTGATGCCCTCTCAGTGTAACATGTTCATTCCATTCCTGTTTTCCTCGAGACCGAATAACTTGATGTAGATAAACACTATTAACTATTTTCAAGCTGTGACACCTTTTTCTGAGACACCCTGTAGACAGATACATCGGAGTGATTCATCGTCCCAACGCGATTTCTTTGGGCTCCCATTTGAACATAGAGTAGAGTTTTGTTTGGAGATTTGTGGATACCCTAGCGCCTTGGCAAAATATCTCTCCATTCCTAGAATGTCTAGGAAATGTATTCGTCCAGAATTAATCATGCAATAATCTTGGAAATGAGCATTCTTGCGGAACAAAAGTCAAGAGATCGTTTCCGCAATCCGAAGACGATTACAATGAGGGAAAAAATATTTCGACGTTCAAGACAATTATTTCCATAAATTCTTTCTCAAAGAATGCGGCAAAGGCTCAGAAGATTGCAGTCAATTCGAATTCCCAGCAAAAAAAAGGTTTCAGTTTTTAGGGATACACCCGAAATTTTTGGAGACGCGCGGTTCTCTTCAATTAATTTAGCTAACGAGTGATAAAATCCTAGAATCCAGTGATTAATATCATGAGATGTCAAGTTTCGGATATGTTGCTTGGTTTTCATTCTGAATTTCAGTGATTTTATTCCCAAATTTCAGTTAAAAAAACCATAATATCCCTAAGAATTGGAGATAGGGGAGGGTAGGGTAAAATGAACCGGGAAGGTAAAACACACCGGAGGCTAAAACGGACCCCTAGGGCGAAAACAAAAATTACCGATTTTCCACTGACAGAAAATTGGTAATTTTTGTTTTTTTTTCTTTCCTTCAAATCAGGAACACTGAATGAGTTGAATTAAAAGTGAGTTTCTTGGATCGTAACCGTCACAGGGGCTTTATAGACAAGAAGTGTTGTTGAACCGCAATTTGATCAGATTTACTGGTTCCAGTAACGGACTTCTTGTCTATAAAGCCCCTGTGACGGTTACGATCCAAGAAACTCACTTTTAATTCAACTCATTCAGTGTTCCTGATTTGAAGGAAAGAAAAAAAAACAAAAATTACCAATTTTCTGTCAGTGGAAAATCGGTAAT